AATTTTTAAGTAATACTACTAGATAGTGACCTTTCAGACTTAGAGCTCTACATAGGGAAATCCGAAAATGTTTGATTATTTTGTTGTTAACCAGAGAAGTTTGCTAAATGTTTAATGTTACGATTCATGAAAAACGCGCATCCCTACGAATTATTCTTGATGGAAGCCTGTGATTTTAATTTAAGTGCATATTTTCCTTTGCTTCTTCCATAATGATTGGTATTTTTTCAACAAGTTTTAGGTTGGGTCATTATTCCTGAGATCACCCTCCAGAATTCACCTCAGACACGATCGCGGTCAATTGAACACGCGGTGAAGTTGGGAACAGTTGCAACTGCAGTAAAGGAATAGTATACTAAATCAATACTTTAACCGAAGAGGGCTCTCTAATCACTCGTAAGTACATATACGTTAAGTTACGTATGTAACTGCAAAAGCCCTCGAGAATGATCTTCGAAATGAACAGAATGTAACCCCATCTAGAACTCACTGGTTTAATTCATATTAATTATTATACAAAACACCTCTTGTACCTCTTATTATACAAAATGCTTTATATCCTGGGCGAAAAAAATATTACTTCCCAACTAATATTTTTGTTGACTCAACGTGTCGCGTATTCTCATCCCAACTTGGTCATCATGTTCTCGCCCACAACTTGCGTTCTTCTGACTCTTTGAGACAAAGCATTTCCTTACTTCTATATTTTACTTTATAAAACTCCCCCATCCACCTTAACACCCTTCCATGTGAGACAGGCACTACGAGGTCAGGCAATATGTTAAGACGACTCAACCCCTTGATTACCCGTGCAAATATTGCCTTCATTTTTAAGCGATGAGGTCCAAGTCCTCTGCGCCTCTCTATTCACTTGATCTGAAATTTACAGTTTCACTAGAAGAGCCAATAAAGATGTGTTTACGTTGAGTGCCTCTCATTTCGAAGTACAGATACTCTTACACTATTCTTGAGTTCTCTCACATCTACAAATTCACGACCGCATGCACTTAAAAAGTAAACATATTTCAGCGATTTCTTTCTAATCATTCTCACCCTAAAACAGTGACAGTCGTATGTTTGTTTCCTTTCATTGTGTTTCAATGCAAGTACCCTACTCCCCTAATTTCCGATTTTTTAAATTTTAGCAAGCAATAGTGTGTATGTGTGTGTGTTTTCCCGTACGTTATTCGCGACTTATCTCTTCCGGCACAATTGGGGACAAGTGAGTTGTCACTCGGTGCGCCTCGGTCTTCTGGACGGAAAGGTACTATTTTTTTACAATTCTTCCCAACCATTCTACGAGAATTCACGAAAAAAAAACATGTTTAATAGGAGGGGGTAACCTAAAACATTTTTCTGGAAATTTCAAGGCACCTATAAAAGTAGGCGGTCAATAGTACTTTTAAATGCTCTCAACTCCCAAACTTTCTGCACGCACAATCCCCAACTGCAGCGCTCGACAAGACCGGTGACGCGTGCAAGTACGCCGAAGTGTTCAAAGAGTGCTTCAATTTCAAATAAATGTATGCAGACGTGTTTCAGAGTAAAACGAATAAAATTGGCGGGTATGCGTTTTTCATTTTTCGCAATACTATATTTTCATAATATCGACTTAACGACACCAGACATTCTTAACGATCGAAGTCCGTTAAGGGTTTACCGGCTATCGGTTCGTTTTACAAACTCCAACCGCGTCTGTTATTCGCTGTCTATCGGCCTGACGTCATTAATAACTATAAAAATATCTGAGAATAAGGAACACTGAAGTACGTACAATTGCATCGTCGGGCCTCAGCTCCACAAGTCCAAGAACGCTTGCATCGATGTCGGGGCAGGTTAATACTTCGATTACGAAGGAATTTAGGATAATGCGGATGTTTCAGAATTAAAGAGGAGCAACATTGACGGCGGTTCCATAAATTTAATATTTGGAAAAGACATAACATAAACGTACTAATCGTACACGAATGTATCCAAGAGAAAGATGTCAGTTTTGCTCAGATTTTCTTTTTTTAAATCAGTGAAATCTGACACAATTGAATATATAGTTTTCAAACATTTTTGATCGAAATTCTAGCCCTACTCAGAAGACCAAAGACAAGATTCTGCAGTCCACACAACAACGCGAAGCGCAGACATGCGCAGTCTGAAAGAAGAAGAGGGGCAACTACAATTTTGGGCACCTCTGGAGCATTTTTCTAGTAAACAAATAAAATTAACCCACAAGAGTGTGGAATTATAACTTTACTAATGATTCAACTAAAAAATACTCTAACAATTGTTTTTTTTTACGTGGAACCATCGATAGGATAACCAGATGATTTGGTGAGCCTCTTTCCCAAATGCAGTTTATCTATTCTACAAATTATTTGCTTTAAAGATGAAGAAATCATGAGTTGATAATTTGTGTGGAAATATATGTTATATTACGTAGGACCAGGGGATTCTATTCCAAATTTCACAGGTGGCATGACCCCCCCACCCATTGTGAGTACACCTACAATCTCCTCTCATATTTTCTTGATCTCCGGAATCACAACCTATTTCTTCTAATTTTAAACATTCAATTTTAGATAAAACTAGCAATGAGTTTTACTGTCAACATTTTTTTTCATTTCGCGTAATAGAAACTATTAGACATGGCAGATGTGGCACGATATTTTAACAGTTGACAGTTCAGTAAGGCAGTTGTTACAACGAAATATTAAAGTTTGAGAAAAAGGTCTACTTTTCCGTTTCTTTACACGGAGTTTACTTGCAACTAACACCTTCAACCATGAATTAATAACAGATACACTTCTAAACAGAAAATACCTCCCAGGTATTCACTAGAATTTGATACTAAACGCATATTGCACGGGGAAGTGGAAAAGAAACACGAAAAAACACCCTCAGTGTGTTAAGTATTTACATAACTGTAATACGTTTAATTGGGTTTTAACACTTTGGGACTAAAAACTTTTCTTGTTCATTAACGTTTCTTTTACATAACTGGGCAAGTTTGTCAGTGTTTACTTTTAGTTCTGAGCTTTTAAATGTTACCCTAGCTTTTAAATGTCAGACAAAATCCACATATATTGTGAACGAGCACATTTTGATGTAGTCAACAATGCTTTCCATGAAATTAATCGTAATTAACCCTACAGTGGCCTGTAAAAAGAATGTTTATTTTATTATTTTACTCTTGAAATGATCTTTATTATTCACTTAAAAATGTTTGTACTGCCTTCATCTATCACTCAGGTGCCAAATTCACAGCAGTTCAGATGCAAACTTCGGCGGCATTATACAGCCGGTTTCACTTCTCACAATTTCAGGTTCTCAAATCCAGAGAACGGCGTCGATGGGAATATGAAATGTCAAGCCGGCGCGACGGCTGCCGGGTTGATGCGCAGACACGCGCCGACAGACACACACGTGACGATGACACGTGCAAGCCCCGACGTCCTCAACCTCAACTCACGATCGAATGCACGCGGTCGGGCCGCGCCGGCGAGTACTACGATCGGATGCCACCACAGCGGGCGCCCATCACGCCAACTGTCACTGGTGGCCAGCAGGGCACGGCACGGCGCGGAGCGGAGCAGAGCGGCTCCGGTCACACAGCCACTTGCACAATCAGCGCACCTGCCCTTGCCTCCGCACCGACCCGTCTCGCCCCTACGGTTCGGCAGCCGTCAAAAACATGTGGCTTTTTCGCCAACGTTGCTCGCCCCTAGTGTAACACGAAGGCACCGTGCAAATGCCACTCTTCGGAGGGGATACCTTTCGACCGCACACGCACACGTAGACACAGTCCTTGCCGGCCCACAGCAGCACAAAAGCGCTGTCAAAAAAGTTAGCTGCAGTCGACGTCGTCGTCGAGATGCATACGGACCTTCGCGCGCATTCCTAGCGAGTCGTTGCGTCACGATCGATCACTCACCTCGTGATCCTTTGGATGGACGTGGTTGCACTGTCGATGCACAAACATTCCGTTCACAGAAACCACAAAAGCTGTCAACAGGACGGATAACCAATGCTTCCACTTCACTTTCGCTGCCATGTTTGACTGTGGAGATTCAGTCGCGGTACCTGGCGGCCGTAGCGACTACTACACATTTCGCGACGCGACGGCGCTGCGGCGGACTGACAGTTGGGCGCGTTTATATAACCTCGTGCATAGTGTCTAGAACGCCTGGCGAATGGTCAGGACACTTTCTAACGCGGACGTATTAAGCGCGGCAAATTTAAAACTGGCCGTTCTCAGAATATTGAAATGAAATGATCTTTACGTCCCAAAGTCTCACAATATTGCTTGCGTGAAAAACTTCAAAACAAAGTGTTAGATCTAAAAAGAAAATTAGAATTAATTTGTTTGAGCATACCATCTTAACAGATTTCATTTCAAAATAAATGCTGCGAATGCATTCAATTTTATGTACCATTCAATTAATAAATTTCAGCCAATAAAACCACTACTCTTGTTATTCTAGGATTAAAATTTTCTATGTCCCCTCTGAGGTGATAATAATATAACAGAGGTTCTACAATATTTGTTATTCATGTTACAAACATTTGGTTGATCTGATATCAACCAATTTTTATCAATTTAGATTGTAGGCCACTTACAAACATTTTTAAAATGAATATACTGATTTTTTTGCCTGTATATTACAGGAAGCCTCAAAATTTTCTCAAAAATGACTCCAATTTAAACTTTGTTCTTGGATAGCATAAAAGACGCTTAATAGAATGGTGCAGATCTCATTTTCGTCGATATATTTGATGTTTTGAAAATTACAGTTCTCAATTCTTTTCACTATCTTCCTAAAACTACAATATTGATTTTTTTCCCCCATAATGAAATCATTTGTTCAGACAATTTTGAAATAAAGACACATACAATTTTAAAAAATTGTGAGATTTTTCTTCATTTTGTGTCAAATAGACCATTTTTAAACAATTATTTTCTGAAAAAATGTTTTTAATCAGAAAAAAATAAAAAATGAAAAACAAGTGCTGGTCCCATTTTCAGCAAACTCTTTATTTTTAAAATATTAACATTACACAAGGACAATATTGACAGAGATTTATTACAAAATATTATATTTAAAACATATTAAATGGAAACTAAATATTTATATGACAGTGATATCATCAAATGACATCCAAGTTATGGAAAGAAACCAACTATTTTGAAGTTGTTGATCATAACCATAAAACTGTTGTTTTGAACAAATTTAATTGTAAAATCCACTTAAGGATAATAGCAAAAAGGTTTAGCAAGAAGGAAAGAAACCAAAAGAGAGATGGGGAAAAAATTACAAACTAATACAATAAATCAGTATCAAAACAAAAAGGATTGGAAAAATAATGAAAACATAATCCTTTCATAAAATATTACATACAATAATATGTAACTTCAATTTTTTATCAATGCTAATATATGATATACAGCATTACTGAACACACAGTATTACTGATACAGAACCTTTTCTTTCAATTTCAAACTTGGAACCAAATGGAAATATATTCACAGATGCAACAAAATTCATATTATTTTCACATTTCCATTTCACATAATTTAGTACATCAAATCAATAAAGAGAAATCCATATTGTCTCGCACAATTTATTGATCTTTAGCTAAATTTACTTTTGTAAGTTAAACTTTCACTTTCTTCCACACGCAAACCATATTATTGCTAGTCACAGCAACAATATACTGTCCAGTGCCACTCACAGTAGCTTTATCAACAACAATGTCAAATAAATCCAAACGTACTTTACCTCTTCTTTCAGAGTAAGTGTCTAGTAAATCTGGCCAAGGCAGAACTAGTGTTGGTTTAACATCTTTCTTCTTGGAAGGTGTATCACCTTCAGAGATAAAGGAACGAGTATTATAAATCCAAAGTGCACCTTTATCATCTCCACAAACCAAAAGATCTGTCACAAAAGAAAATTACAAATGATTTAAGAAATTAACAAAGAAAATTAAAATTAGAGATCAGAATTTCAGGCATTATAAATCTTTAAAATAGGCAGGGGAAGAAAGGCACTTAAAACTGCAATAAAAGGCAAAATAAAATATATTTTTTAATAACAAATGTAATTATAAAATTAAATAATATATTATAATTGTTTTTTTTATAATAAATACTTTAATACAATGGTAAAGAAAACGGATTTCACAATAATTCGAATACAAATATGACAAAATGACATGAGAAAAGAATCTAATTTACGACAAATACTTAATGTATCTTTCAAAACACTTTCAGTGACGTAATACAACTAAAGGATTTCTTAAATTCTTTGTGGTAAACAAAATATCCTTCCTTCTAAGGAATATCTTTTAAGATCAATGGAGGTTACTGGAGCAAATCTTGAGTACAATAGGGATCTATTTCTGCAGCAACTCAATTGTCCACCCCTAAAATTTTCACAAGGTTTTCATCTAAATCAGAATCTTGAGGAAACATTCATAACACTTTTCTGTTACTAATAATCCTTTTGACACTTTCTGTAACCAATGCTCAGCATCATACACAAGTTTCAATGATTTTGTTAGAGCTGCCCCCTTTTTTCAAGTCAAGTGAAGACATCTAATCAATTGAAGAATCGATCGAAAGAAGACAAGTCAATTGAAATGAGCTATAATAAAAAAATCATTCAATCATTTTGTTTACTTCTAAAGAACAAAGAACTTTATTTCCTAACTTAACTGACGATGCATCAGCCCCACGAGCCTTAACCACAATATTTATTCTTCAAAAATTGGAGAAAGAGTTAACAGCTGCAAATGTTTCCCATTTTGTCCAAACAGTTTGAGGAGGCAGATCCTAAACACTATTTTTGAAACTCTGGATTCTTGAAGGACTTTTCAAAAAATCTTCTTAATGTGTGGGAAGAGTTTGTCCACCGGAGAAAATAAACATTTCGCTTTTTCTACAACTTAATGAATGAGCTACTCAAGTGAGAACAACACTTTCCAAGCCTATGCTGCTTTTATTCATGCACAGTGCTGAATCAGTTAAAAAAGTACCTCACCGAGTTGAATTTCCACAAATTTTTGAATAACTGCAATAGTTGCCTAATTGATTTCTTCAACACATTTAATGGTGACCATGAACAACTTCATTAAAATAGTTTACTAAAGAAGAATCTATCAGCTCAACTAAAAACGACCAATGACTTCAGTTGCCTTGTCAACAGAAATCTTATCAATTCATTATCAGTCCAATCATCTACTTTTTAGCATCTTCTTAGATTTTTCTCATCACTGCCTAACTGAGATAACATTTGCACAAAGTCGATTCACTTGACAACCAATACTGCTGAAAACAACAACAACAAAAATTCATTTTACTCCCACTGCCGTGACTAAAGTCTTAATTTAGTACAAGATAATCTCTTTGAGAACAAAAACCTCGATGAATATATAATTAAAGCGAAATCAATCCATTGATACTGTAGGCATCAGCAATAATCACAGATTCAATCATTACCAAACCCACGTTATTGGATAAGAAAAATTTCAATTATAGCAAAATAACAAATTACTTTGTAACTATGACACTACGCAAATACCTTTATTAAATCCCATGTACATAAAGTAATTATCAGTGTCCTTCCATTTAAGAACATAAGAAGGAGCAATCTTTAATGTATGCTGGTTCTTGATATCTTTCAAGGTATCCCTTATGTTCCATACATATATGTTTCCATGAAGGGCACACTTTGTGGCAACAAAACCATTGCTAAGCACTTCCACAGAATCAACAAGCTGATTTCCTTTCTGGGTTGAATTCTGTCCTTGTAATGAAGGATGCTCAAACACAAGTATCTGAGTGCTGAAAAAGAAAGGCCAAAAATTTAATTTTAATAATTTTCAACTCATTTAATATATTTTCAGCATACATGCACATATAACAGAAACATTTATAACACCATATTGACCCAAAATAAACTTTCATTTTCTATTCAAGTATTCGAGTTCAATTTCAAGTGAAAAAACTTAAGACACACCCTTAATTCGCTCTTCTTAGTCAATAATGATAATAGTGAGCAATTACATGCATTATGTAATATTACACATGTTAAATTCAAAAACTCCATATTAAGAAAATAAATTTACTTATTTTTTAAGTTAACAATGAAGGCTTTTTTTTTACCCAAACATTAAATGGTTAGCATAACCTATGGTAAAAAAAATAATATAATTCTTCCCCCGACTGATTGTTTTCCACATTGAAAAGTGGCTAATATTATTCTTTTTCTCCATCCTGCCTCCCCTCCTAAAATTTAACCCTTAAGTGGAAACACATTTTATTATGATATTGGTAACACTGGTCACTGCAATTTTTTGTGTTATTTGAACATTAAGCAATGATTGTATTGAATTTACTTTTATATAACTAATCATACTTATATTTGAATCCAAATTTTTGAAATATATAATTTTTAACTTTGAATTCAATTTTTAAAGCAGTGTTGTTACAAGAATGTTTGAAGCTAATGTGAAATTCAGCTTCATATATTATATGTGGGAAATCAATATTATAAATTTGGTCATTACACACAAATAGTCACAACAAATTGTAAACAGAATTTCTTCACACATCCATTGCACAACTTCTAGCAACACTCCAAGCAATTAAGTTCTGAACCAACAGCTTACTTTGCCTACACTTTTAAAACTTGTTCCCTATTGACATTTTCAACTACAATAAAAAAATCCAAAAAATTTTAACATAATCTTGGTTGTTTTCTAAGAGAATGAAATATTTGAAGCACGCAAGAAAATGTCTTACTCTAAAAAAGAACATCCCAAAGATAGTAGTTAAAATATACTTACGATTACAGTAATGCAGGCCTCTGAGAACTTCTTGGCAAATATACAATAATGAGTAAGAAAAATTATAGTACGATGTTATCACATCTAATACAGTCTCTCGAATGAGGCATAGTTCAGTATTCAAAGTTGGAATGTAACCAAGGTAGTCAAATTCACAAAAAGAAATACCAGTAGGGTCTGAGTGTTACCACTTAAGGGTTAAAGGGTGTGTCCAGACACATGCAATACATTTACACTTTAAATACACTACAGATAAAGAAGCCTCTTAAAAACATCACAGCAAAAACAGAAACAAATGGAAATAGAAAAGCACAATAAGTAAGTATGTTTTCTTACGTGTCCATTTCGTCATCTGACTTAATTCTCCAACCACGTAATCCTTCATTGCAGGCTGCTAACAAGACATTACTTTCTAAAGAAAAGGATAAGCTGAAGATTTCTGATTCTGCAGATAGCACATAAAGTTTCACAAATGATGTTTTGTATTGGGGTGGCAAAGGACATCCTATATCAAAAACTATCACATCACCCTTACTTAGTGAACCTGTAACACAAGAAAAGAGTTTGACAGTAAAGTAAGGTATAAATAACAAGAGAACATAATAC